CGGTCACCGACCCGCACCACCGGTGATGGACCCAGCACGTTCGGCAACCTGTGTACCGTGGTGCACCGCATGACGGCCACTATCACGGCTGGCATGGCACTGGTCGCCTTCAAACTGTCAGGCCACGATACGTTCCAAGCAACCTACAAACGCAACTACCTACCGATAGGTGCCTTCACTGCACTGGCGTCCGAATCCGCCGTAGAACCAGAAGACGCGGAAACCGGTGTGGAGCTTGTAGAGGCGGACGAGCATGGCGACTACACCCTCACCAGCGTTGTACAGAACTACACACAGCGTGGAGTGGAGCTGAGCGGCTTGGACTGCAGCGCCTACAGCATCGCATCCAACTTCGAGGTGAAACGTATAACACCCGCGCAGCACCCCCATGCTGCCATCCTCAGTGCCCAAGTCCTCCCTGTACCTGGCCGCCGCAAGCGCAAAGCCCCTGGCGCCGCTATGACCCCTACTACTGACGCACCTCCCACCCCATCTGGCACCCAGCCCACCGCCGCTATGGCGTCCCCTGCACCAGCTGGCCCATCTGCAGAACAGCTGCCCACGAGCCCGATGTCGACCATACCTCCCAAGAATGTGGCCTTCCAACCAACGCACCCGCTGTATCTGACACACGTTCTTCATCGCCTGGCGCAGCCGAGGTACGTTCTGCTGGGCGGTGCGCTGCCCCGCCGCCCGCAAGAAGGCAGCACCACCGCAGCCGCCGTCGCCTACTACGCATTTGTCTTAGGCATCTTCAAGGCTCATCGCGGCCAACCGGTGGCTGCCGATCAGACGGTGAAAGAGGCGTACAATGCATGGTGGATGGACCTGGGATCCACCGAGGCAGGCCGATTGTACAGAGCCTGTGTAAGTGTCCTGCTAGACAACATCGAAGCAGAGCACCTCGCCAGCGCCCGGCGCCAGGCCGACTACAACTTGCGACGCCGCCAGCGCCGCGCCACTGCTGCAACTGCCGGTCTGGCCCCGGACAACAGTTCCAGCGACCCGGATGATGACGACCCGGAAGCTGCACGAGGCCGCCTCGAACCCGACCCCGCCACACAGCCGCCGCAAGATGATCAGGTCGAACGGTACGACTTTGTACCAGGCCAAGGCGACCCGACGCTAGGAATCAACCTGTCCGATGTCGCCCTGACGGACCTGTATGACCGCACCACAGTGGAGGGCCTGTACGCATACGGTGCAGCTCGGCGTTGCCGTGTACTTCCTCTTCCCAATGCCCTCGGTGCCAACACCAACCCCTTCATCCGCCGTGTACGCACCACTGACATCCCGCTGCTGAGCGAGGCTTCCAAGCGCCTGAAGCGCTACCTAGTCATCTCCGAAGGCACCGCCACCATGCCGACCACGACGGACCACACCCCCCATCTTCGTTTGGATCGCCACCCCGGCTACCCCCTCGTAGCGGTCATCGTGACCGACACCCAGCAAACCAACCATATCACAGCGGGAATGCCAACTTACCTACGTCTACCACAGCCACCGAGCATCGACGACACCATCGAGCTCTTTACCCTGGCGCCGGATCAGGCCGTACCATTCATGCTCATGGCACGTTATTTCGACCGCCGCAACGAACCTGATCCAGGCGTCCCGCCGCAGATGCTCATCATGGGTCCTCCGGGCACGGGCAAGACTCAGTTCGTACACGCTCTACTGTGGTACACGTATCAGCATGACAGTCCTGACTGGGCCGCCACATGTGCATACTCCTGGGCTGCCGCGATCGCCTTCAACACCCCAGTACACCGCAGCCTATCGACCCACTCCATGTTCGGCATCTCAGCCAGTCAAAGCGGCTCCCGTGGCGCCAACCTTCCCAAGCGCGGCGCCCACGCCGGCCTTCAGGTCAAGCGCAACGTCGGTGATGGGGCCGTCCTCATCGACGAAATTGGCATGCAAAGCCACGAGCACCTCGGCGCCATCAGCCACTCCTGTACAGCCAATGTGCCGCCTCCACCACACCTTGGACCCGCCCATCCCAGCAGCCGTGTCTTGTCCGGTCGCGTTGCTGGCGGAATCGGCGACCTGCTGCAGCATCCTCAGCCAGGCGGGTCGCCGCCATACCGCTACGCCGCCAACGTCGAACAAAACCCCCAGTTCAGTCCCTCGGCACCGTCAGCACAGTGCTGGCCGGCCTCGGTTGACGAACGTGGAGGTGACCATGCTGACGGCAGCAACAATGACGGCAGTGATGCCGATGACGACACCGGCAACCGTCACGCCACCACCTCCACACGTCACACTCGTCGCCCCGTGCCACAAACGCACACCCGCCTACACGACGGCTTCAACCTGTACCGTCAGCTCGGCGGCACCGTATTCATGCTGCAGAAACAGCAGCGGCAAGACAACAGCCCATCTGGCCAGCAGCTTACCCGCTTCACAACCATGTTCGGCGGCATTCAACCCACTGAAGCACGTGTTGCAGATCTAGTAGACGCACTCAACCAACGCGTCATCACAGATTTGTCCGATCTCACAGACCTCGAACCCCGTGTCGTGCTGCAACGGAACGAACCCAGGCACGCGCTCAACACACGCCTCCTGATGCTCCAGGCGCGCCGCAAAGGAGCGCGTTTGGTCAGCTGGAACGCGGACCACGTCCCGGTTAGGCAACATGGCGCAACCCAACAACAGCCGCTCTCCCACGTCGAAAAGGCTGTCGCAATGCGAGTAAAAGACGCCACCTTCGACCACACCACCGCCGACACTTGGTACTACGAGGGTGCACGCTACACCCTACTCGACACCACTGCTGCCGACGCTGGCGCGTGCCACAACAATGAAGTCGAGGCGTGTGGCCTGCTTACCGACAGCCGTGAACCGCCCGACGACGGCCGCGGCCCGTACTGGCGCCTCCACTACCTACCTGCAGCCGTCTTGGTCCGTCCCATTAAAGGGCACGCGCCCAAAGCGGTGCTAGCAGACTTAGCGGACTTCGCAGCCAAAGGTGCTGCCTTCGCCATCGTACCACGGCCCTCGCCGGCGGCAAACATCACCGTGCCAGCCGCCAACACCGGCACCGCCACCAAAAATGTACGTCGAGTCAATGTACCGCTTGGTGACTACTACGCCGTCACCGACTACTTCGTACAGGGCCGTAGCTTCAAGGAAGAATGCTGGGTCACGGACCTTTCCGTCCCGCCCGGTGGCCTCAAGCGTGCAACCATGTACGTGTTGCTCACCCGCTACAAAACACTCGACCACATCCGCCTCCTGCGCCCGCTCTCTACCACACCCGACGAACGAGCACGAGTCGTCAAACAGTTCATGGCAGCAACCAAGCTGGACCCCGACCTGGCGGCCGAACTCCGCCTCCTGGATCGCCGTGCAACCGAAACCCGTGAACGCTATACCACCGAGTACAAACACGCCAGAAACCTTGAGGAGCGTTGGACCTCCGCAGCCAACACCACCTGACACGTCCAACACTTCGTCTGTCTGCCTCGCCACTGGATGGCGTTAAATGCCAGCGTTGCGCGGCTCTCTAGCCGTCCGACGACACGCCTGCACGGCTGGGTGCATCCCTTGCACTTGTGGGTTCGACTCCCACACGGGTGTAGTACTACATGCACGGACCGTCGTACTCGTGCCGCCCAGCCGGGGGACTACGGCCCCCTCGCGGGCGGAGCAGCCCGCGTCTAGTCTGTAGTCATAGTCCCGACGTTAGACGGACGACGTTTAGTCGTTCCGTCGTCGGGACGGAGACCTTACCCCAACTTTCTGTAGTCGTAGTCCCGACGTTAGACGGACGACGTTTAGTCGTTCCGTCGTCGGGACGGAGACCTTACCCCAACTTTCTGTCTGTCCGTCCGTCCGTCCGGGTGGCCGCTTGCTGTTTTCGCGTTTTTAGTCGTGTCGTCCGCGGTTTCGGAGCTGCGCCTTTTAGGCTAGCTCCGTCGCCGCGTGGGAGCCGCGGTCGCCGGTTCGCCGCCGTCGCCGCTTTTTTTCGTTTTTTCGCACCGCACAGCACCGCGCCGCACCACACCGCATCGCACCGCACCACACCTGGGCCCGCGGAAGGCGCCCAGGAGCATGGCCGTGCGCCGCTTCGTCGGGCGCGCTAGCTCCGGCGTCGTGTGGGAGCCGTAGTCGCCGGTTCGATCCTCGCGCCGGCGCGTCGTTTTATCCTTTTTTACGTTGCGGCTCGCTGGCTTCGTCGCCTATTCTTCTATTTTTCGTTCGGGAGCGCTGCCTTCGTCGTCGCGTGGTTCGTTTTTCGCGTCGTCGTCGTTTATTGTTCATTTCTTTTCGTTCTGGACTGTGCACCGCACACCGCGTCGTCCCGGACTGCACTGCTCCACGCCTGGGCCCGTGCAATGCGCCCCCGAGCATCGCCGTGCACCGCTTCGGTGTCCGCGCCGCACCGCACTGCACCGCGTTGCACCGCACCGCGCCACACTGCGTGTGGCAGTGCATCGCACCGCACCACACCTGGACCCGCGCAATGCGCCCCGAAGCATCGGCGCTCACTGCTTGTGGTGTGCGCTAGCTCCGACACTGAGTGGGAACCGCGGTCGCCGGCTCGATCCCGGTGCATGAGTTTCTTTTTGTTTTTTCGTTCGGGACCGTTTACCGCACCGCACCGCACTGCACCACGATTTAACGCGCAAATCGCAAAACATTGGCTGCACCGCACTGCGCAATTTGACATGCGCCGACTCGCGCATTTTAACGCGCAACCCACCACACAACTCGACGTGCAATTAAACATGCAATTCAACGCGCAATTTAACGTACACCAAACCACGCAATTTGACGCGCACTGAACTGTGCAGTGCTTGTCCAACGTTGTCCGTGTAGGCTGTACGGCATTTTGTGAAGCTGTTTTGTTCATGGACGTTGCCTCGCTACAATATAATTGCACCGCATATATACGCATCCGGTTTACTTATTTTCAGATACGGTTGCTTTAAAGCTGGCGGTTGTAGACTAGTTGCGCTGCCGACATAAGCTGCGCGGTATTTCGCGAAGCTGGCCTCTTTACATGCATCGGCTCGCTAACCGATTTTTGCCAGATGACAACATCTCGGCACATCAACGGTTGTTCATCGCCATCGATGGCTATTCATCGCCATCCTCATCTGCACATCCTACACGATACAAGGTCAGTCCACGTGCAAAGCAGTAGCAATGAATAGAAACAACGAATAGCAGTGAGTAGAAACGATAGCAAGAATAGCAAGG